ATAGCATCATATGTGTTTTTTCCCAATGTAGCACTTTTACTCATTATCCATTAGCCATTGTTCAAGTAAATCTTCGCCATCACTGGATATTATGGACATTATTAAGTGCTACTTAGAAAATAAACAATTTAAGTGCTATTTACGAAAATGACTTAAGTTTTGGTTCTATTTAGTGCAAATATTTCTTTTACTTTCTCCGGAGGATATGACTTATATTTAGGAGATTTTCTTTGAATACCTATTTTAAGGATATTACTTATGTTTTACTTATATTTAGGAGATTTTCTTTTTACTATTTCTATAGTTAAACTTCATTTAGTTTCTATCTTATTTTCGATACTCATTTAATAAAATAATATAATCATGTCACATTTTGTTTCGTAGAACTTTTTATATTGTTTTTTATTATGCAAATCTTATTTTTTTAATTCTACTTCAATTCTCAAATAAGTTGTACTGGAAATAACTTCAGTCAAACATCGTAACTCGAAACAGATAATTTAAATTGGGACGGAGAGAGTATTAGGATTTGAGTCATGTATTTTATAGAGTAAGGCTCCGTTCCGTTCAACTTATTTTTCTGATCTTATCTGATTTTTTGTAGTTCTAATCTGATCTGATCTGATTGGATCTGATCTGGTCTGATCTGATTGGATCTGATTTGACCTGATAGGATCTGATCTGGTATGATCTGATTAGATCTAATCTAGTCTGGTCCGATCTGATTGGATATAAACTAATCTGATTGGATCGGATTTAATCTGATATGATCTGATTAATTATGATTTGATTTAAAATTCAAATCAATAATTTGATTTGACTTTATAATAACGTTTGAAAATTGTAATGATATTTCATATTATAGTATAATCAATATTTTTTATTTTATGATTATTTATTAATAAAATAAAATTAGTTAATTCATATATTAGAATAATCATTCATATTATAATGTAATAATAATTTTTATTTTATGATTATTTTTTTGTGAAATAAGAATATTGATTTAATATTTTAATAATTAGTTCATATATACATTAAAATAAATATTTAATTTATATATACATTAAAAAGTAATTAAATTTAGATAATCAATACAGAGAAGAGATAGTAATTTTATTAAAATATCTCATCCTTATAAAAGATCAAAACTTTAGAAACTCAAATTACGGGTAGCAATAAAAATATATTTTAAAAGTAGAATTAGATTGACATTGTCAATGTATTTTAAAAATAATTTTTTCCATGTCTAATAATTAAAGATTAATTTCTCAGTATTTTATTCAACTTGTTTCTAAAGTTTATTCTTTTTCATTTTTAATAATAATAATAATAATAATATTTATAACAAGACAAAGAAAAAGAACAACAACAACAAGAATAATAATAATAATAATAATAATAATAACAATAATAATAATAATAATAATAATAATAATTCTTGATGGAATCTGATCTGATCTAGTCTGATCTGATTGGATCTGATCTGATCTGATTTGATCTGATCTGGTTTGATTTTAATAAGAATAAAAAAAATAAGAAAAAATAAGTTGAACGAAACGAGACCTAAAAAGTTGAGTAAAATAGATGCTCATAGAAAATCCTATCTAAAATAAAATAAAGAACTTTTCTGCCCCAAAGTGATCCAAACATATCATAATCTTTAAAAATTTAACAAAATCTTAACTTCAGATACAATATAAAATAATTAATCATATTGAATAATAACAGTCTTATTACTCCGTAGTTTTTATACAAGAGATTCCTAATTAAAATATTAATATATAATATGGTTATAAACATAATATAGAAACTACAATTATATCTCCATCCTCGGCAAGCTTATCAAAAGTAAAATATAATATGGTTATAAACATAATATAGAAACTACAATTATATCTCCATCCTCGGCAAGCTTATCAAAAGTAACAAATGGCAATTTGGAGCACAAGTAGTTTAAATGCTTAAATGAAGCCGGTAGAAACAATCTCGTGAGAGTATCTAGGAGATGGACAATAGAAGGAATAATATACTCTATAATAATCCGTAGCCATGGTGCTAACAATGACTTTGTCCTGCACAAAATAACAATCCGAACCAACATATTTTATATTTGATCGCGTAGAAGTGTATCCTTAGAGCAATGACAATGGCGAGGAATATCCTCTTCCACGCCTGCCACATCACCAAATCATGGAATGTCATTAGCATTCCTCCACGATTGCCATGGCACTTGCGAGGCACCCATCTCCCCTTTCTTTTTTTTTTCAATATTTTTTAAGAGAGAAATAAGCTTTTGTATTTTTTAAAAATAATAAAACTCCATTTGTCCTCTTAGAGATTACTCCGCACAATTTTAGCACAGCTCTCGATCATTTTTGTTTACCCGTGTGCTTTCATTAGTTATATAATAAAATAAAATATTTTTATCACATTCTGTTTAGTAAAATTTTTGAAATAATTTTTTTTAAAATACATACATTCTAATTTTTTTTATTCTTATACCAATTTTAAAATAAAATGATTTTAAAAAATATGATGTTTTACTTCATAATTTAAAAATTGTAATCTAATTTGAAGACAACTGGTGATGGATTTTCGATCATCATTGTCTTTCGCTTAGAGCATGAGCAATGGTGAGGCAGAAATGGAATGCCACACGCTGACGTGAAATATTTTAACCAATAAAAAATAGTCCAGTCAACGAGTGGCAAGGGAGTGGAGTGGTATGCTTTGCAGTGGCAAGTCGTTGTTTTTCTTATTCTTTTTTTTTTAATTTTTTCCATATTGAATTATTTGAAGTTATTTAACCTGTTTATTTTATCATAAAAAATATTTCTTTTAACTCAAAATTATTTAATTTATTTTTTTCATTAAAATAATTCTACTTTTTTTAAAAAAAAAATTCTTTTTTATGCAAACAAATAAAATGACATTAGTTTTTTCTAAGTTTTAACTTTTCTTTAAATATTTTGATTATTTGGAATTATTATTGTTATTTATTTTTTTCTCAGTTTTTATTTTTATTTCTTTAATAAAAAAAGAGTAAATTCCATAATTGGCCCTTTATAACATGGGGGTTTCCCTATTTAGTCCTCTATTATCAAATATTACTCCAATGGTCCTTTTTTATGGGTATTTTTCCACAAATAGTCCTTTTTTTGATCTTATATCATGTTGGTGTTAATTCGAGGGCTAAAAGTGTAATTTCACAATGATAATATATCTTTTTTGTCATACACAATTCCAAAGGCTGTTCCGTTTGCATCGTTTGTGAATTACAATCGTTTTCTACTACAACCATAGTCTACAAATGTGGTATTTCGTCGGAATTCTAGCCCACAATCACAGTCATTATTTTTGTGTTATCCGCTTAACCAATATCAGAGCACGTCACTAGACATAATGTTGATGTCAAATTATACTTTTAGCCTTTAAATTAATACCAACATGGCAGAAGATAAAAAAAAGGACCATTTGTGGAAAGGCACCCATAAAAAAAAGGACTGCGAGGGTAATATTTGATAATAAAGGACTAAATATGGAAACCCCCTTGTTATAAAAGACCAATTATGGAATTTATTCATAAAAAAATACCTCTACTTTCTTACAAAAAAAATAACTTTTTACTTCATAAAAAGATTTAATAAAATTAAAAAGACATGATAGACTGCCACGGTCATGCCTCTCCTTGCATGGCATATTTGGATAGCCACGAGAGGCAAATCTCCATTCCTGCTGAGGTGGCGTGGCAAGGCAGTGAGCTACTCGCCGTTGTTGTTGCTCTTAATCTAAATCAGAGTAAATAGAAATATTGAGAGGCCTTTTGTGGGAGTGAAGACCATGATGCACTGTACCTTTTAAGTAATAGAGAATATGCTTCAATCTGTGATATTTTTTTAGTTAGATTTCACATAATTTGAGACACACAATTGGTAACATATTCCACCCTTATTTTCTTCAACCATTCTAGATGTACCCTAAATATGTGAAACCGTGTGTGTACGGATGGAAGTAAAACAATGATTTTATTCTTCTGTGTGTTGTGTTTTTACAAGAGACTTCCCATCAATATATAGGAGGGAGAAATAACCTAAACCTAATAGGAAAAGAATTCTCACAAGTAAGGAAACAAAGATGCTAAAGGGAACCTAATCAAAATAGGAGACCAACTTTCTTCTGGAGCCGTGCATGTAGCCGTGATCCCCAAGGCGGCGTAATACCCCCCCCTCAAGCTGGAGCATGCGGGTTCCGAGTGCCAGCTTGGACAACAAGTGATGGAACGAAGCGGCGCCGAGTGGTTTCGTGAATATGTCCGCAGGTTGATCAGCCGAAGGTGTAACGTCCTGAAAACCGGTCTAGAATTTTTTTAACTTTTTACTACAAAATAAAATTTAAAAAAAATTGAAAAAAAAATGTTTGAAATTTAAGTATGAAAAAAAATGTTCCTTAAAAATATGTCACTATTCTATTGAAAAAAAATTAGAATACAAGCTTTAATGATTAAATTGTTAGAGGGGATGAGTAAAAGCAATAAAATTAGTTTTGGTTCTCTACTATCTGAAAAATATAGTTTGTTCAAGTGAACCCATTTTCTTGACAAACAAATTTTGTTAAAATGATGTGTGAAAAATATGGAACTCAACGGTATAAGTTTTATATTTTTCCAAAAATATTTAATAATCAAAATTGTGGAAGTCGGACATGTAATTAAACAAACGGACCAAGAAAACCATTGGTTTTCCTCTCTAAAAAAACATCACGCCTAACACAAGGGAAAAATTTGACTCCCTTCCCATTCATTAACCTCATAATGGAGTTAATGAATATGGTCATTTTTATTTTAATTATACCTTAATATTTTATTTATGTTAGACAACTATAGCAGTAATGTAGTTATGGTAGAATTCTTATATTTAGCAGTTGTGATAATTATGGAATCCTAGTTGTGTTAGGATCTCCACATATATATATACCTTATGTAACCCCCTTTATTCCTTGAGTGAAATTCTTATTCAATTATTCAACATGGTATCAGAGCCTGATCCAATTTTTTCTCCTCCCTCAACCTACACACATTTAAAAAAAAACCTAGCAGTATACCCGATTAGGGTTTCTTGCTTCTGTTTGCCGGACCAGGCAGTCGCCGTCCACCGCCTTCCTTCGTCAGCCATGGCACCACTGTCAACCGATCCCATGGATCGTCTTCCTACTGGTCTCAAGTTATTTGTCCGGAATCTCACACCGGCAAAACTTGATGACACAAACTATCCTTCCTGGTCTGCTATGGTGCGTGCGAATCTCATGGCTCATCGCTTGCTTGGGTACGTCGATGGCACCGAACCAAAACCTCCCTCTATGATATTGGATGAAAAAGCCGCCGCTCCTGCTAAGGATGAACCTCCGATCCTTAAGCCTAATCCTGCTCATGAGACTTGGCTGGTTGTGGACGCTCAACTCCGGGCATGTCTTCTGGCTATCGTCTCTCCAGTCGTGCAAACCCATATCCATGCGCTCCCTACCGCGGCTGATATCTGGAACCACCTAGAGCAGCGGTACAATTCTTTATCTCGTACACATATTTTTCAGTTGAAGGAACAACTCCATGGTCTTCAAAAAGGTAGTGCCTCTATGCAAACATATCTCGATGGTGTTTTGAATATTGTGGCGTCCCTCAAACTCGCACATGAACACATCTCCGAACAAGATATCATACTCTGTGTTCTCCGTGGTCTCCAATCCGACTATGCTTCGTTAAAACAGAATATTCGGACCAATATTGGATCTGTGACCTTCAATCAAGTCTCTGCCTGGTTGCTTTCGGAGGAATTAAATGTTTCCCTTGAGAAAAAATTACAAATTGGTGACACTGCCTCTT